CCCATCTTCCTTCTGAGGAGTGGCTGGTGGGTTTGAACCACCAGCCTTCTGGTTAGCAGTCAAGTGCCTTAGGCACTATGCTACCAGAGCTCCTGGTTGGTAATTTATCAGTTGATAATTGTTTTTAATTGCTGATTAGTATTCTGTGGTATAGATGTACCCAATCTGTTTAACCATTCACCTATTGAAAGACATTTTGATGTTTCCAGTTTATGAACATTTGGGTACAGGTTTTTCATAGATATAACTTTTCTTTGGGATAAATGACTGGGAATAAGATTGTTAGGTGATATGATAAGGTTAACTTTAGTTTTTAAAGAAATTGCCAGGTTATCTTCTAAAGTGACTATATCATTTTACATTTCCACTAACCATGTATGAGATGTCCAGTTTCTCTGTGTCCTCACCAGCATTTGATATTGTTGCTTTTTTAAATTTTAGCTGTTTTATTGTGTGTAGTGGTATCCCATCATAGTCTTAGTTTTCATTTCCCTAATGACTAGTGGGGAGCTCTGGTGGCATAGTGCCTAAGACATTTGACTGTTAGGCAGAAGGCTGGTGGTTCAAACCCACAAGCCACTCCTTGGAAGGCAGGTTGGGCAATCTACTTCCGTAGTGATACTGCCTTGGAAACCTAAGGAGGGGTCGCTATGGGTCAGATCCGACTTGATGGCAGTGAATTTGCTTCAGTAGAACAACTAATGATGTTGAGTGTCTTTTCATTTGTATATCTCTTCTTTGGTGAAATGTTCGTTCATGTCTTTTCTTCATTTACTAATTGGATTGTTTGATTTTTTACTATTGAATTTAGAGAGTTCTTTATAAATTATAGATATGAGTCCTTTACCAGATAATGTTGTTTGCAAAAATTTTCTCCCAGTCGGTACCCTGTCTTTCGCCCCACCCCCAACAGGATCTATCATTTTTTTTTTTTTTAACTGTGATTCGGGTGAAAGTTTTCAGAGCAAATAGATTTTCCATTTAACAATTGCTACACATTTTGTTTAGTGACACTGATTGTTCTGTTCCCACTTCCTCCTTATGTTTATCATTCCCTTCATCTTTTCCTATCTCTTCCTCCTTTTGAGCATTATCCCTGAACAGAGCTACTCTTCTTTATCTTGTATGGTTGATTGTTCAAATGAGTGCATACTTTCCTGATGTTATTTTCACTGTATAAGCCTATCTATCGTTTGGCTGAAAGTTGCTCCATGGGGGTAAGTTCAGATCCAGGTTTGAAAAGTGTCTAAGAATCATACTTTCAGGGGTTCCACCAATCTCTATCAGACTAGTAAGCCTGGTCTTTTTTTTTTTTATTATTTTGAGTTTTGTTTCACATTTTTCTCCCACTCTGTCTGGGACTTCCTATTGTGATCCCTTTCAGAGTGGTCAGCAATGGTAGCCGGGGCACCATCTATTTCTTCTGGTCTCAGTGTCGTGGAGGCTGTGGTTCATGTAGTTTATTAAACCTTTGGACTAATTGCTGCCTTGGGTCTTTTTCTTTACTCTTCTTTCTTCCAGGTAGGGAAAGAACAATAGTTGCACCTTAGATAACTGCTCACAAGCTTTTAAGACTTCAGTCACTGCTCACCAAAGTAGAACGTAGAACATTGTCTCTGTGGACTATGTTATTCCAATTGACTTTAGTGTCCCCCAAGACTATGGTCCTCAGCCCTCAGGCCCACCAATTCATTGCCTTAAGGTGTTTTATTAGGGCTAAGAAGTTTTCAAA